CAATAATATCACACTCAATAATTGATATCAAAAACACTGTCAGTTTAATAACGCAATGCGTATTTGAAAATTTTATCAAATCTACAGGTGCACCCGCACTAAGAGAAAAATGTCGAATTCAATGTGCATATGTGCGTCCCGAGCCACAGGCGCGAAGTGGCCGGAGTGGGAGCCGCCGTTACGGCTCACCGTGACCGAGACAAATCGGTTCACCCTCCCATAAAAAGTTATCACTTCAAAAAACTATAGAAAGTTTGTGAAACAATGCAAAAATCGCGAAAAAGTGCTTTGCCCGTATTACGTGCCCCACTGTGATCTGTGACTCTGCTACATAACTATTATTTGTGCTCCGCACCATAGTAATTGCAGCCAGAGCATTTTTAATGATTTCTGTTCCCATGTTTCTAGTCCCTCTGCAGATCTAGGGGGCCATGGGGCCTGAGCAGGAAGAGCTGCGCAAAAGGATCGAGACCTTTGTGTACCAAGTGAGGACCTTGCTTGACCAGGCTGCGTTCTGGAAATCCAGAGCAGACAAGGCCGACAACCTTTTGGCCGCCAAAACAGCAGCCGAGCTCCAGGATGAAATCGAGAATATTTCCTGAATGTCCTCCAGCTACAGCGACGGTACCGTTGGGCGACCCGTTGACGCGGAAACTTTCCCAACATCCCTCAAAGAGGGCAGGGACCTGTTACCCAACTCCTCTGACTACGAAGGCTTCCAAAGCTCAAATCGCCGACGGAAGAGAAGGGCCTTTATCCCCCTGTGAAGAAATCATCACTGGTAAAGCCGTACTTTTGCCTATAGGAGGCTGCACCAGATAGCATGACCCCCGCAGTCACCAGCAGATGCTGACCACCCCGGTAGCCCAGCGACGCAGACCACCCCTGCAGCCCAGCAGCAACCGAAGAAGAACTGCAAAGTGCCGCCCATTGTGTTACACCAAAAAGAAAAGTATGACGAAATGACAAAGAGGCTGATGGAAAAGAAAATCAATTACGACTGTGGTGTGAAGAACGCACCTTCCCACCAGCGAAGTCTATAGAGCAATGATAAGGGCACTTGATCACCACAAGTACCAATATCACACCTATAAACTGGAGGAAGAAAAGCAGCTCCGAGTTATAATCAGAGGAGTGCCTGAACCGTGGACCGCGAAGAAAACTTGGGATGAGCTAACCGCGATAGATTACCATCCAACCACGCTAGTGCGAAGGCGCAAAAAATGGCCAGCCTATAGCAGTAGTCCTGGTGCTGCTACCCAAAACAGAGAAATCAATTTTCGAGGTGAGGGCCCTTGGAAACATGCGAGTCAGAGTGGAATCGCAGCATGCCAAAAGCCAGACGACACAGTGCCACAGGTTCCAGCTTTTTGTCAATGGGCACGCCAAATGCACAGCTGTTGCCAAGTGGGTAAAGTGTGCAAAAGCATACCAATCCCGGGAATGCCAGATCCCCCGGGAAAAGGCAGCGAAGTGCGCCAACTGTCGAGGAGCCCACCCAGCCTCCTACTCAGGATGCCCAGCAAAGCCTTCACCCAAACAGCCAACAAGGCGAGAAAATCCTGTAGGCCGCAGGACAAGCCCACTCGGCGCACCACAGCCCCAAGCTGCCACTAGAACCGGAAGCTACAGTGCAGCAGCAAAGAAGAACCTGCCGCCCCCCAGCAAGTCCCCCAACGTCCACCGGTGGGGAAAACGCGCCATGAACGACTGGCGCAAACCATTCAAGCCATACAAGCAGACGTTCATGGTCACAATGCAGGCGCAGATGATTGTACTGATGAGGAGCCATGTCCTAGGCTGCAAATACCTCAATATATGTATGTCGTGTCCTAGAATGTCAATGGAGTCGAGAGCAAGAAGATAGAGCTCCAAGACTTCCTGGAACGACACACTGTGGACGTGTGCCTAATCCAGGAAACGCTACTAAACCTGGAGAAAGGTTCACACTTTCAAACCACAAGACACACACAGATGATAGGCCAACTAGGGGCGGAGGCACACTAGTCGCAGTGAAGAGGTGTATACAGCACCCCGAGATTGTCAAACCGTCGACACATCTGGAGGAATCCATGGTTGCTGTCCAAATGGAAAAGTTGGACATCAGTCGCCTCCATATACGTCAGTCCAAGCTGCGTTGAGTCCCGAGGATGTTCAAGGGCTTTTCACAGATGACAGGCCAACAATATATGACGGGGACTTCAATGTCAAAAACACCAACTGGGGATGCCTTTGCCTTTGTCTGTGGAATCACACACGGGCAATAACCCGGCCTAAGGGAAACCAGAGACATCTTCCCTGAACTCCACTTAGTTTTTTGAGGAGCGGAGGCTGAGTTCTGCCATGGACCCAGTGTAGCGGGGTATATCGTTTCACCCATGCCCAGGGATACGGGCGAAGACCACAATGGCAGTAAAGGCGTAAACGACAGACAGTGGATCGGCGGACCTGGCAGAAGTGGCAGCCCAGCTCTATGGGACAAATAATAAAGCAAAATAGAGTTGGCCAGCAGCATTGCTATTAGAAGATCAGCGGATCTAGTACAGAGATCGTCGGTGCTATCATTCGTGTTCACAAGTGTAGCTGCACCAGCTTAAAACGGTTGTGAAACTGCGCCACAGAAAGAAGAGGGATCTGAATCAGCTATCAATCGCTAACCCCGCTAGATCACCCGACGGACATACACGCAATCACATTGATTATTTATTAATAAAGAGTAGACGGAAAAGATCGATTAGATATAAAAACATATCCAGGTTTGGACTGGGGTAGTGATCATAACGCACTGGTCGCAGAGCTGTGCTTGAAGCTGCGCAAAGATCGACAACAAGCACCCAAACCCAACCTTTGGAACATAAGCAACAACTCCACATTCAGACACAACATCGATTGAGCTTTGACAACTATCACAAAAGAAAGAGCAGAGCACATGGATGCTAATGACCTATGGATAGAGATGGAACAAGTCTTTAATCATTCGTCCGCGCTGACTGATACAGATAGGAGCGACCATCCCAAAAAAATATGGATAACTCCAACTCCAACATGGAATCTTATAACCGAAAAGAGAGAGCTTAAAACTAAGGGCATTGGTGATGGCGATGGGCAACAAAAATATAGCGAACTCAGCAAAGCGATCAGCAGTGGTATAAACAACGACAAAAACATGTACATAGCATCAATATGCGAAGACATCGAAAACCATGCGAACTCAAACCAGCCTCAAGATACTTTTAATAAAGTTGGAATGCTGTCAAAAGCATTCAAAGTTCATCACCTTCCAATCAAAGACGTTCATGGAGTTAGGCCAACAACAAAAACCGAAATCATAGAACGATGGCAGCAATACTGTGTAAACCTGATGGCCTCAGAGGAAGAGAATAAGCAGAGCGACGAGAATTTCGTGTCGTGGAACGCGAGATCAACTTATGAACCTACGACAAATTATAGAAAAAGCATACGAGTACAACGTACCAGCATGTACCAAACATGTTTTGTTTCCTTGACTACACCAAGGCCTTTGACGCCGTACAATGGGGACGACTATGGAGTATCCTGAGCGAGATGGGGGCTCCGAAATATATCATATAAGTTAAGATAAGATATTTATATCATAAAAGTCC